CGCTGTAAATGACTATTTTTGCATAGATGTGCTTCTCTTTGCTCACACTTACACACAAGACTGAAATTAGTTGATGGTGGTCTTCTCCTTTTGCTTTGTATCCAGTTTTATTGTAGTCCCATGGTTTGTTGGCAGGTGCTCTGGGTGGTTTGCATTTTCTGTCCAATCTATTGTCTGTCTTCCTTATCTTTCCTCCTTTTCTTTGTATGTTACACTCTTTGGCACTTATATTTTGGATTCAAACAAAACTAGTGGATGGTCGTAAAATGATAAAGTTCTTTTTATGTAATGCCACTTTTGTTGTGGCAATGTGTTATGTGTAGCTCAGACATTAGAACATGTAATACAGTTTTTGTTCTTCTTATTAGTGATAGGGGGGAGTAGGTTCTATTTCTATCTAGTGTTGTTCGCTCCTTCTTTTCTATTAAATATCTATCGTCTTTAACTCTCTTCCTTCTTTTCTTTGTATGTTACTCTCTAGGAACACCTATAATCTTAGGGTCTTACTTGACCTTTTTTTGTGTTATAAGTGCTGAAAAACTTTCTCAACTATAGCTCTGTTGTGTTGTGTGTTTGTGTCTAGCCTTTTCTCAACAATAAAATTGAGCAAATGAATAGTCAGTCTGATTTAATTAAGTGGGACAACTTGGAGAATTAAATCCATGAATGGACAATATACCTGTTGTTTTCTCAGAATGCCAGTGTCTCTATCCATTTTTCAAAATGCTAGTAACAGGTGTCTTTGGTGTACTAGTAGTAAGGCTCTTTGCTGCCATACGCTAGAAACACGAGTTCAGTTTTCTTGTGTGGAGGACTTTTATCAAGTTTCTCTGTCTTTGTGCTGGGATGTTGTATCCACTCAGTTCAAGTTGGCCTTGACAGGCAAGATCGATGCAGTTCACCTCTTTAATAAACTTAATATAGTGTCAATGGGGGTATAAAATTTCTCCAATTACAATAAAACGTTTGTCCTCCTCTTGCTAACAGAGTGTGTGCAGTGCTGAACGAGGAGCTCAAAGGTGCCCTGACGGAGCCCGTCAGTTTCCTGACCTCTCAGTGCGAGCCGGACACCCCTCAGCCACCCAAGCTCATGACCAAAACCAAGACGTCGCTCTCACTCAAGTGGAATGTGAGTACACACTGGAGCTGAGCCTTACATCACATGTTTTTATATATATATTTAATGGATATATGCAGACTAGCAGGCACATAGCAAAGATGTACATTGTGAAACACACCACTTAGCGAAACATGCACCTAGAATACATGTTTGTTTATTCTTTGTATGTAAGACATGTATAGCAATTTTTGTGCATATAGAAAAATTTTTCGCGTCTCGCCGATTTCACTATGTGCCTGCTAGAGTAAATATGATTATATGTAAATATGATTATTTATGTTTTAGTAAAATTGCTCCAAAGTTGGTGATTCGAAACAGAATAAGGAGTGAGGTTGTTTTGGTTCATCTGCCTTTTTGGAAGATTTGAGAGTTCAAGGTATTTGTGTGATGTGTCGGTATTGTTATGGGTGGTACATCTGTATTTTTCATTTAGTGTTATTGTAACATAAAAGAGTTTCAGCATTTTATTTTGTGTTTCATGCGTGTATCTTTGAGACTGTTTTTACCGAATGGAGTATTTTAACTTCTATTTTTTGTTTGTTCTACAGGCAACGTGTGAAAATGGGTCCAAAATTTCAGCCTATGTTTTAGAATGTGATCAGGTAAGGATGTGTTTGTATTTGGATACATTATGCGTATGTATTGTTGTGCACTATGTGCTTGTATTTCGATATCGTACTGATGTGTATTTTCAATTTCTTTGTGTTTATTTGGATACGATAATCTTTTTTAATTTTTTGCATTACATGATTGTATTTGGCTACATTTTGTGTATGTATTTTCATGCATTGTATGTTTGCATCTGGAAAAGTCATTTGTTTGTTTATTCTCTCCCCCCTCCCCGCGCGGCGAGCAGGGTCTCGGAGATGGCAACTTCTCCGAGCTTTACAGTGGTGTCCAGCGCCAGTACAAGGTCACGCGTCTCAATGCTTCCACCAGATATATGTTCCGGCTCGCTGCTGTCAACTCTCTGGGGAGAAGGTAACCTTTTCTTAGCGTACTGCTGCTTTTTTCTTTTGTTTTCTTTCCTTCTAATTATTTTTCTCTGTCTGTCTGTCTGTGTCTGTGTGGCTTACTCTTTCAGAGCTCTAAATGATTGTTGTTGTGTCGATGAGGGGCTTCTCTTTACTTAAACAAACGAACAAACGGAGCACTAGTCTGTCTTTATTGGAGTTTGGAGGGTGCCACTGGTTAGGTCCTGCTTCTTTTCTTTCTATCTATTGTTTCTGTCTGTCTGTCTGACTTTTCCCCTTAACTTAATGATTACTGTTGTGTTGATGTGCTTATCTCTTCTCAAACAACAAAAAGAGTCCCAGTCTGTCACATAAGGGTTTTGTCCCCTTGACCATTTGGTTTGTAGTGTTAAAAAGACTGAATTTTCTGCTAAAAGCTGTTGTTTGGGGTCGTTTAAAAATGCTTACCAAAGAAAACTAATCATGGATGAAAAGAAGGACAAGACCTCTAAGTTTCAAACTATGGGATTTCTCTGTAAAGTAAACATTCCTTGTCTGAGTTAAAGTCAATCATGAGCCTGAGTCAACTTCATAGAAGATCCTGTACTTGTTCTTGGAAGCATTTTCTGACATCCCCCTCCCCACACACACACAATTTAATCATGTTATCAACATGTTTACCAGATTTTCTCTGCTTTACTTGTTTTTGTGACATGTGCTCACAATTTTTGGGGATGATTAAGTGTCAAGTTTTGTTTCCTTTTCTGTTCCAAGTACGAACAAGGCTACTAACTATTCTTTTTTGTCTGCCCCCCACCTCCACCACCCCCACAACAGCCAGTACAGCAATGCTGTAGGCTTCTTCACCAGCGGCTCTGCCCCCTCCCAGCCCGACCCTCCCATGCTGTCAGAGCAGTACGTCTACGCTCTCACCATCTCTTGGATTAAGCGACCAAATGATGATGAGTTCTTGCTGCAGATGGAGGATGAAGCCACGGTAAGGAGGGCTTAAAATGCAATAAGTTCATGTGCCAACGACCATCTAAATTTCATGACACCAGAATAACAATCTTCTAAGTCGGAATTTTTAATGTTAGGTGTCAAGTAATCAATAAGAGAAGGCATTTGTTTATGTGAGACGTGTTGTAGAAATGAGTTACTTCTCGCTATCTGCATGTAGGTATTGGCAGAAAATACATACACACGCCAAATTTGTAGAGTTTCAACTGATGCCATTTTCTTTAAGGTCATCATCTTTTATTGTTTCATACTAATAAATTGTACAAATGCAACCTATAAATTTTATATATCTTCGTCTGTACGCTTAATTTCCGAGAAGTAACTTTTTTTTTTAGGACCTCACATTTATCCTATGTGTTGTACAATCAATATTATTACTCCAGCATGCAGTTTAAGTAAAACACCTCACAAAAATAAATTGCTTTTACCATTGATGAAACTTAAAACAATGTGTGACGAAAGGAAATTAGCATTTCATGGGCATGAGATCCAGAAAACTCTTCTTGGTATGTTTAGAGAGCTGAAATCTCTTACTGTAAAGTTCAGTCTATTAGCTGCGTCTTTTTTCCTCAGCTTGGCCTTCACCATTGTTAATGTGAACACTTAAGAAATAAAATTGTTTCAATGCGTTGTCAAGGGCCTTGGACAAAATTCTGCAAAGGAGTACATGTTTTATCTGAGTGCTTTATATTACGTAATGTCAGTTAACGACAAAACATCTGTTAGTGAGATTCTCCATCTCAAGCACTGGCCACTCCATTGAACCTCGTGAAAGTGGCTTGGCTTTAGGTTACTCCATTCTAACCTCACTGTCTTTTGGTTGTCTTCAAATGCACATGTTTAACATGTACTGGATCATTTTATGATGTCCCAATGGCTGGCTAGCGCACTATTATATACGTTTTGCGTGGATGCATTTTTTTTTTTTTGCTCCTCAACACATGTCAAATCGATAAAGGTAGTGATCATGTGGAGAAAGATAGGGAGGTTCACTGACCCGCGTCACTCGACCGGTGTGCCGTTGAAACAATACTATATCGCGTAAGGGAGGATCAGCGGATCACTTATGCCGTTGTGGTTGATACCGATATTCACACAGAATTTAAAATGCATTTCCAAGCATTTGCAGTTTGAATATGGATTTAATATTTATGCACTTTGTGTATCAAGGTATCAGGGATCTTTTGATGCAAAAAACAAAACAAAACAATCTTCCCCTAAATTTGAATAATGAGGTTCCATCAGAGCTCTATTATAATCATTATCATCATATTGATATTCTCTGTACTTTTTTGTTCTCAGGGTCATGGTTACATGCCGGTCTACAATGGGCCCTATCTGTCATACACTGTTCAAAAGCTCAAGAGGAATACAGAATATAAATTCAGGGTAAGGTCTTTTTTCTCTCTCTCTCTCTGTCTCTCTCTCTCTCTCTGTCTCTCTCTCTCCCTCCCTC